ACAGCTTTAAGCAAATATTAAATCATCATCATCATCATCATCATCATCATCATCATCATCATCATCTCTTAATATTTCTTTTGAGGGAAAAAGCACCTAGCCACCTTAAAAGATCTGCCTGGGCCAGATGATAAGCAGGTGAACCCGATGTGCCTACAAATGGGGAAACATACCATCTACGAGCTCCAGAGAGTCTCACCATTTCAAAACAAATAAAGAGAGTTTTACACATTTTTAAGCAGAGTGCAGCTGATCTAGAAATAAATTAGCTCAGCTAATTTACTTCATGCTGGCACAGAGTCCTTGCTAGCAGGTGATCTGGTATCTTTTGTTAGTGGATGCCTGTGTCAGGTTTCCTTGATCAATCATAAATTCTAGTAGTTGGTTTTAATTTGTTAATTGTATATAAGTACATTATTGCTATTGTGTAAAAAATAGCACTGTAAGTACAGTGTTGCCATTTTGAAATCATAAAAAGTGGTAAAATGTTATTGTTACGTTTCCCCCTTTTTAGGGATATTTACTTTTTCCTTCTTTTTCTTTAGATTGTATAATTTAATTTTTTTTTCTCCCAGGCATATAGGGTTTTTTTTTGGTAATAGTTTAAAAAGGAAATTTCTGAGTATTGTTAAAAATATTATAATACTACAATATTCTATTTTTATGGTGTAACAGAAGCACTTGATTTATTGCCATTTCTGATGTAACTCTCCCACTCAAATCTTTATTAGAGAGATGTAACTGTATAAAATAGTCCTACCTGAACACAGTGCATGTCATGCTGTTTAACATGTTTGAGTGTTGTTTCTTGTTTCACCTCTTCACAATCTGTGGAGCTGTGGACATCTCCACCTCTCTCAAATGAGAGCTAGGTATGGTGGCTAAGATGCTGAGTTATGAATCAGGGAAATCCTGGTTTGAATCTTGCTTCATGCTTTTGGGGAGATCTACTCTGAGTTCCCTCTTAAAGGAAATGGGGTGGGTGGGGAATATAATCTTATATTAACTTACATTATGTATAAGATGATGTTCTGAGGATCTTCACAGTGTCCTAACTAAACATCAAATTCTGTTGAGCAATACTCATCATGCCCGGCTAAGAAGCAAAGAAGC